ATATATATATATAACGAACAGTTGCGAAGATACAATAACATTAAGCGTACGAAAAATATATGTTTGCTTATGTATCCGATATATATTACAACATAAATCGAATAAAAAGACAATATTGTATTGACTCATTTTAAATTGATATTAAATCGAATACAGAATACATTCTTCGATCGACGAGTGCATAATTAATAAAAATTGTTGCAATTCATTAGGTATGTTGATTTGATTAAATATTGAACATTTTAATGACATTTTAATGTGTGTTTTTCTTTTAAAGCAAAAAAACTGTTCTTTTTCCTTTAACCATTAATATTTATATGACTTTATATGCCTGAGAAGAATTAATTACAGATTATTTTTATAGACAGTCTTCCCAGATAGCAAAAGTAGACATTTTAACGTTATTTTGACATCAAATTAAATCAAAATGATGTAAAAAAAAATTATTTTTGCTAATTAGGTTATTTTTTATTCTCTGTATTTTTTATACTATCGTCCTTCTTCGCTATACATATATGTAACAGCCTGTGTTATTATCGCGCACTTAGCGTGCTAAGACACACTTTACGCATTCATTACAATGCATCAGTCGAAATGAAGCTACATCGCATTCATTTGCTTAGATAAGCTACGATTACCTCGCCATCTCTTCGTGTCGTTTAAGCCGCTAAACCGTTCCTTCTACTGTGCTCTCTCCTCTCATTATTCACCTCGGACAAAGAGGTATGTCTACAATTCAAATCGTGATATTCGCGGCGACATTCATCTCCATGGTCTTATGAAATAATTTATCACTTCGTGCATGATTGTGCGATTTTTATGAACAGAGCGATTTTTATGAAGAGAGAAGCATAGAGGGTTGATATATTTCTATAGTAGCATTTATGTGAGACTCCTTTTAAATCAATCTTTTAAATCAATTTTAATTTGTTACATTATATGAATGAATATATAATTATACTTGATATTATATTCTATTCATTTCTAAGCTTAATTTTTAATTTCCAGTAGATTATATTTACAGAATCTTGATAATACAAAGTTGATTTAATTGAATATTGTGTTACGAGCATCTCAAAAGTATGTTAAAATCAAAAAGGTTTTCTAAAACGTATTAGTAATATTTTTCTAGAAAACATCTGAGTGTATTAATTATTATACATATATCGGAGCATTCATATATATTATCGAAAATGTGGATTTGTTAACAGTTTCATCAACGCAAAACGATTTCATAATTCAAATATTGAAACATTTCGTCTCTATGTATACTTACATTTTTATAACGAAGTAACGCAAATTAGCTGCCGATTCAAAGTGACAGTTGCGCAAACGTCAGAATTCGCAAACAGCTGTACAAATAATAATTAAACGCAATTTAGCGTTAATTCGATTCGGTTATGCGCAAACTCGAATATTACAATGCGTGTTTTATGACATCGAAGATTTCTCGATGCCTCGATAATTTCTTGTTAGAAGTTATTTCTTTCGCTGACTAGTTTGTCCTTAATGACATGATAAATGCTAACACATTTTTTTCGCAGGAGTTTTTATTTCCCGGCTATCATGCCAATATTCTCGGTTACTCAGCAAAGTGTTAATTATTAGATTATTTATTTTATTAATTGCATTCATGTATAAATACCTCCTATTGTTTTGTCAATTATAAATCTCGTTATTATTAATGTTAAACGCGACGTTGCATAATAATGACGCAGCATTTATATAATATTCGTAAAGTATGTCGGTACAACGTAATACATAGTAAAATTTATGGATTCTCACATTATTCGATATCTTTCGAGGCGATATTTTCTTAATGATTTAAATGACATAGAAAAAGAAGTTATTCAGAAATTGCTCTAATTTTCGGGTAACTATTTTTTTATGTAAAAAATTTTTACATAATTATTTATATATACGGAATCTTTAAACGTATTGTGATAACTATTGTAATATATTACAAACTGCTTTAACTTGTTATTAGCAGAGAAATTGACTTGTATTCTGTTTTAAAATATCATCGACTGACATATGTGGTGCTCTAAAAATATTTAAAAATAAATTTAAAAAGTGATAAATTTTATATTTTTTTTGCTATCAATGTTACAAAAATATTAAAAACTTATGTAACCACATGTGTAGTTAAGCTAAAAAATCGGTAAATTTTGTTCATATTGTGTAATATCGACTTTATTCATTATCACTACTTTAATTATGAACACCGTTATGTTTCAGGTGAAGATCTGGTTTCAAAATCGAAGAGCCAAGGCGAAGAGGCTTCAGGAGGCGGAAATAGAGAAACTAAGACTATCCGCGAGACCACTTCTGCATCCCAGTTTTGGATCGGGACTTATGTTCTCTGGGGTGGGTCCGCCTGGTACCCCAGGAGTGCCTCCCTTTATTGCAGCTGCCATGGCTAGGCATACTCATGCCGCGGCGGCGGCGGCCATGTTCATGGGACCGCCTGGGCACCGACCTTAATAATAATACGTCAGAATATTATACACGTACGATTCAAAATCATTTTTGATGTGGTCGCCTAAAGATTTGGCAACCTATTCATAAAACAAGAATCCGATGGTTTAAAATCTACGAGTTCAGAGAACACAAGAAGCTCCAAAGATTAAAGATTTACAAGAGACAAAAACGTTTATTAATTCAAGAACGCGAAAAAATCTGCAAAACTACAACTTTGCGAATTAAGAAATGGGGCAAGCGAGGACGCAGGTAAAGTTAGCAAATCGAGGAATTTAAGAATTAAAATCTAAAATATAAAGAAGTTAAAATACGGAAATTATTAATACGGAATTTAAAGATCGAAAAAAAAACATAGTCTAATAATTTTAAAATTAAAAATTACAAGAACTCCAAAAATTCCAATCACTTAGCGATGAAACTCGAAATTGCAATAACATCAATTTAAACGTCTTATATTTCCAGAGATACATAAATAAGTTAATTTCAAAAAAATTAAATCAAAAGCTACCATTTGAAGATTTTTCCTTAAAAAAGGACGGTGGGTAAAACGGGTCGATTTTGGCCTAAAAAGCGTAACGTAAGTTATATATGTAATTTTACATTTTTGGGGTCGCTGAATACGATGGTAGCAATTTTACTTGTCTAAACCCGCAAAGAAAGTGGTCAAAATTCGTCTTAAAGAGGTCGAAATAAGTCACTTTTAATAATAATTCGGTTAGTAACGATTTTGTTCCAATTATTTAATTATGTAAGCTTATATATATAATTTACGTTACACTTTTTAGACCAAAATCGACCCATTTTACCCATCTAACTTAAAAAGATCATATTTTTTTTCTGAACGACGAAATATATCGGCGCCTCGAAAGGCGCTCCAAGCTTTGATCTCACAAAAAAAAAATATGAGTGTATATAGTGTAAATAGATACGCGTTCGTACGGTAATTATGGGTGTACGTATGTATATACACACGTGTACAGGACGCTTCGATTACTCCCAGAAGGAAGAATCGTGAGACGCAAGCGTTCGAGAATTAGTTTAACGATTTGGACCGCGCTGGATCTAGTAAACATTCGTTTCAGGATTTGTTTTAAATGTGGACCGGCTGAAAGTGCAGTGACGTGAACATACGAGGTATGTTTAAATAATGACGAGTCTGAGAGCATTAAAAAAAGAAGCTATCTATTAGCTAAAAAAATTACCTAAAGCCAAAAGTAATCTCCCTAAAAGTAATCTCATATAAAAAAAAAAAATCTTTCTGAACATCTAAAACTTTTGTTTAAAACCTCAAGTTGCAATGTTTTAAACATATTTTCAAAAGTGATATTAGGGATATCAGCGCGATATTCTTTTCATAGTTATTATTATAAAGGACCAAGCATTGGTTTTTCATCAGCAAGTACAGTTTAAGTACAGTTTATTAATTCTAATGTCTTTCAGACTTGTTGAATTTTTTCTATGCGAGAAAATAATGCAAGCATTAAATTACGTATCAGCTTATATCAATTGTGTGAATCGAAAAAAAGATGGAATCGTTCGTAGACAGTAAATACTGAAGTTACGAATGGTGGCACGGTTCTAGACGTACCTATATGCGCCTTGTATAAATGTAAGATGATAATTTATCCATGGAGGTATATATTATAGCGAAATAAAAATGATTTCAGTATTTACGTTCCGCTGATTTTTCAACCCTCGATGCAATATACATAAAATATGTTGTTTTTTTTTATTATACATACCTAATGTGTTATACGAGAAAACATGTTTCTTTTTTTCACACAAGATCTCTTTTAAATATCAATATTAACAATTTATTTATTTCGATTACATTTTATATATTAAAAAAAAAGACATAGATGAAAAGTAATTTTTCTAAAAACTTTAGTCGAAAGAATTAACGTTACGAATAAACGTCCAGCAACTTTTCGACGTCGCAATTAAGCAATTTGCAAATAATACAATGACCTAATTGACTGAGCGTAACTTCCGCTCCAAGGCATCCGTCGTATTGAGGCAAGGCAAAGAGAAAAAAAAAAAAAGAAGCATGCTGGGTTTGCTCGCCGCGATCGAATATATCGCACAGTCATCGACAGGTCGGCTTCATATATGGCAAGTAGTCGATCCAATGGTATAAGGCGGCCGAAAGTGTCCGCCAGATAATTAGAAATATGTTAATCCGCCGTGCCTGCTAATTGGTTTTTGACTAAATTTTTAATTAAGTCTTAAGCCTGGACGGCGCGCTGATTTATCGATGAGAGGACCCGCGCGGCTAATTATAAAATATATGTAGAGAAGGCATCAACACACACACGCATGTCTACGGCGGCCGCTCATTTGTCGTTATCATATTCGTGCGTGTCTTGCCTGTGTGCACCTGTCTCGCTTTACAGTGTGTGGCTATATATATAGGCGCCTGCGGCTTGTTTTTTTGTCGGCGACACGCAACTTTCCAAGAGAGATGCTGCACCATCCCAATAATTGCCGTGTCATTTTCACATTTTATGCAAACTCGCAACATTCGAAGACGTCATCGATTCGCGATGCAGAGTTTACCAATATTACGGGATATTTATGTGGATAGATAAATAATGTAAAATATATAAGGAACTTGCATTTGATCATTATTTATACTTTTACAAGCTTAGCTTGAAAATTACTCTTGCTGGTTTCTATTTAACACTAGAAATAAGAAGATTTAATAAGAACATAATAATTTGGATCCAATTATTTGAAATTCTTATCGCGATTCGTAGAGTCGTTTTTATGACAATAATTTTTTAGCATACCGACTAGTTGAATAAAATTAGGAAACAAGTCTGGAGAAGACTAAAAAAATGAGCAATGAATATTTGTATCTGTAGGTCTTCGCAGCGTTTAATCTTAAAATCATTAAATTATCATTTTAATTAACTAACCGAATCTTTCTTAATGCCATCAAATCGGAGATTGAATATGCAACAAATATGTCAGGAATCAATTGCGTCACGGGACAAGTGGCAAAGCGCAAAGAGATCCTTTAAGAGCGAGGATTCACCGTTAAAGGCTTTACAAACAGGCGCCAGATATTCGCTACCCGTGTAGATCGGAAGCTGTTTGGCGATCCCTCGTTCTCTCCTTCTCCCTTGTGTTCTCCAAAGCCAGCCAACCGCCTCCGCTTCTCTCGGCACGACCTCAGAGAGTCGGCGCTCCCATATACATGAAATTTATGTACCGAGCCGGCCGATTCTACGCATACGGCCACATTGAGCGCTGACAATTAATTAAAGAATAATTTCTTGTCTTCGCGATACGCGGAGGAGCGTCGCCGGCTGGCGTCCAATTATGTCCTCGGACCGGAGCGGAATACCAAGCAGGTCCGTCGACGACACCGGACTTCTTCGGGAGCTGTATCCTTGTAACCCTTCTGGTCACGCCGCTACCAGTACGATTCATAAAACGCGACTCGCGCAAGAGTAATAACGTCTGCGTCTTAATTACACGGGAAATAACATATTTTAATTGTTTCTTTATTTCTACTTTTTAAAGCATCAATTTCAAATCAGTATTGAAGCTCTTTAATACAAGACGAAATTAAATTTTCGTACTGTTTGGATTTTCGATTTTTAATATTTTACAAAATTACAATGTGCTGATTGCATTGAGGCCTTAATTTTAATTTTTGACATATGTTTCGAAAAATAAAAAGATATATACGGATATAAAAATTGTGAATACATAAAAGAGAAGCAGAAAAAATAATGCGTTAAAGAATTTAATTCCAATATTTAATTTCTTTGGCTACATAAACGTACATGATCTGTTCTTGTTTATATTTGATGATAGTTTCTTCAATAATCTTCGTCAGCGCTAAGGAGTTAATCAGATGCACCTGTCAAATAGATTCAAAACAGAACAGGAACATACGTAATGAACCAAAAGGTAAAAGCGAGAGGGAGGAATATTCACGGTTAACGCGTGCATCGAAAGTAGGGTTCTCTGCGCTTATTCAGTTTATCCAAATTAATTGGTCGTAAATTAAACAGCCCGCTCTGACGAGTGGGCGAGCGATCACGATGAAGAAAACGGGATGGTGCCGACTGAAGAGGCAAGAGGGAAGATCAAATATGCGCATAGTGGAAGAGAGATGAGTGAGCGTGGAAGAAAGTGGGACAAAGAAAAATAGGTGCCCAGAAATGAGAGAGAGAGAGAGAGAGAGAGAAGAAGAGGATGCTGGTGCGGACAAAAGAAAAGACAAAGATTAAAAAACCGAAAGGATAGGTTAGTAGAGAGGACACTGTCCGGGGACAGTAGCGCATCGACACGCCATTATGTGGCGGCTGGGACTAATTTATACAAGGGAAAGACGAAGACACTACCGAAAATCAAGTCGCGCGGCCGAAACAGGAAATATCTAGGTGGCACTATATTTAAGCGAAGGGGCCTTATCCTAATTGGAAGCCCGCCACTGTTTCGACGGGTGTACCGTTGCTCGGATTCGTGTCTTACAGATAATTAGAGAAACAAAAATTATCCCGAGGATTAAACTAAATTATCTTTGTAATTTTAAGATTTGAAGGTAGTATACGAAAAATGTCGAAAAAGCACAGAGATGCGGTAGTGTAGTAATTATCCAGATTTTAATCTTATGTTTTTCTTATTATTTTTTTGTCTTCTCTTTTCGATAATATTGCATTTAGCTTGGCTGAAGATTCATATAATTTGTTTGTATTAATCTTAAAGATTATTCAAATTTTTGTTATATTAAAGAGTAATGCATATATGTATATACCTATGCAACTCGCATGTTTTTCAGAGGATGAGCTTCGGAAACATGTTTCGATAAACGTCGTGGAGAAATAAAATGATCGCGTCGAAACACCATAAATCGGACGCATCGGTAAGCGAGAGCGCAGATCATGTGCTGTTGCCAGTAATTGCCGGCAAGATGAATCGGGACGAAATCTTGTTTCCGACTTCGTAGGAAATTTACGAAGCGGCATCGAAGCGTTTACGGCGAGAAAGTTATTCGCTACGGCCGCAAGAAAGTCGCGGCTGATGCAAACGCGTCTCGGCGGATTCTTCAAAAGTACCGAGGAACCGAGCTCCTAATTAGGAACAAGCTTGATAGCCGTTCTTACACGTATTAAGCGATAAAACGAACAGGAAAGGCGAAGCAGGGTAATAAGTAAAATTCATAAGTAATATCGTTTGCTTCATCGTAATCGAGCCTCGTTTTTGTTGTTGTTCTTGAAATTATTTATCTTAACATTCATCTATAAAATGTAAATTTGCAAATTTTTATAGACATAAATTCCAATTCCAAATCGATAATTAATAAGTAATTTGATATTCTTCATAAAAAAAATGGGGAAAAAATAATCAGATTAGTTGAAAAAATAATACAAAATATCCAACGACAATTTGAATAATTAATAATTAGTACAAAGAGAAAGAATCTCTGCTTATGTCATTATCCAGCGATTCCATTGCGCGCCAAGACGAGTCTACCCGCGAGATAAAAAGTGGCATCGCAATATAAAAAGAGATAATAACTATATAATTTAATCACCGGCACTTTTCCGCGCGCGAAAGCACGAGGCGTTTTACGCGCGGGAGACGATTGTCGCGCGGAATGCTAGCTTAAGTAGATGTTCCATCGCGACTCTCGGTATTCCAGGAGCAATTAGCGCGGCGACGCGACGCGAGGCAATGACGCGCGGCGCGGGGGCGGGTGGACGGAAATCACTTTAATATCTTTCTGCCTTGACAGTCGTCGGCGCGACAACCGGTTTGTAAATAGGATGAAATGACGCCGCATTATGAATTGTCGACGTAAACGCTCGTTTTTTCTTCCAATTTCGCCGGTGAAACGGCGCGATTACGCGGACGGGCGCAGACGCAGGCGCGATGAAAAACGAAGAGATTATAATTATTTCCAGAGATTCAGAATGCTAATACTATTAATTGCCGAACGGGACTCGTTCCCTATGAATATTGATGAAGACGGAGATAGGAAATTTCTTTTTTCGATTTCTCGCCGATCAGTCGGAGAAATCGAGTTATGGCGAGATCGACATCATCCATAGCCTTCGAATTTACACTCGTTAAAATACAATTTGTCATTTTATATTGATTTAATGTATTTATTCAGCATGTTTATCTAATAGATCTATAAATACGTTTATACATATTTATGTTATAAAAAGTGCGTTAAGATTATTTTACCATTTTACTAATGAGATTTTGAATTCTCTAAATTTCTTAAATATATTAAAAATCGATAAACTAAATTTTTGAAAAATTTAAATCTAATTTTATTCTCAGTATTTTAGAAGTATATTCTCTATATTTGTTGCATCTGTAGAATTTCTCGATAATTGAACTTTTGTTTCGATGAATATAAAAAATTCGCTTTTATTCTATTTGTTACTTGATTCTCTTTATTAGTGTACGTCTCTGTCACATTATTTGATATAGAAAAAATACATATACATAATCTTTACGTGAAAGAATTCATTGTTTCGAAAAAAAACGGGGCAATATCTCGATCGAAAATTTCGGAAATATTCGAGTGGCAGATCACGTCCGCGGCGGAGCTGACAAAAACGATGACAGAATCCTGGGGCAATTAGTCGATATTTTAATGCGCAAAAAGTCGACCCCTCGTTAGATCCTCTCGCAGCGAAG